GCAAAGGCTCCTTTCCAGCCCACGTAGTGAATTTACAGTTTGGGCTTGTAATGACAACCTTCCCTGCCCACTGGGCTGGTAACTTCGCGGGTGGTTGGGCCGGTCATTCACAGACCATGTGGGCATGTAAATTCCCAGCCCAGCGCGTGTTCAGGTGCGTTGCCACGCCGGGTCGGTAAAATTCACGCTGGATTTTTTTACCGTGTAGTTGTGTTGCTGTTTTTGTCCCCGTTTTTAAGATATTTTCCGTCTTTTACTTTTTGTGCAAAAAATTGTGTGAGGATTAAGCGAAAATTTTTGTCAATACGTTGAGGCTTCATTGAATCACGCGCGTGCGTACACACACTTACACACACATGTATATATGGTCTCTGAAATATTTTGTGTGAAATTATGGCTTTGCTTTATTTTGGCTCGAAAATGCGACATGCGCGATGTGGGTGGATATGAGGTAGAGGGGGCTGCTTTGGTGCAGCGTGTGCCGCTCTTATTTAGCATATTGAGAGAGAGAGAGAGAGAGAGAGAGAGAGAGAGAGACTTGCATTGTGTAAGGCGTCGAGAGATATGTTGTGGGCCCCGTCCATTGAGAGGCGTGAAACGCTCCGGCGGCGGCGGGGCGGGGCGCCGTAGCTTATGCACAAGTGAATGGCCGGTCCGCTGTATTTCAAGGAGTACAGGCTGTAAATACGCCACGTGCTGGGCTCTTCTATACCAAGCGGGCCACAACAACTTCGAAAACGCCGTGTACGCGCGTACATTTCAAAGATTCATAGAGGGCTTGGGGTCAACGGATTTCTCGTTTAGGGGGGTGTTACAATAGTTTCGGATTTTGTGAGTTTTCACTGCTGCTTCATTTCCTTCTTTACCCACTGTCACCCCACCAACCCTTTCTTATCAAAGTCCTCCGTGTGACGAATATTATGCTAAGACTCCCATCTTCACCTGAAAAGAGTTCGCAACGCTGGCGAGAGGAGTGAATTCGGTTTTGTCCTGCGGTGTCGCCCGGGCCGTGTGCTTCGCTTCGAAGAGGAGGGAGTAAGTGTAGCGTATCGCGCTGCGGGGCGTGGCGGGCGCCGGGGGCTTCTCGAGATGTGTGGTTTGCAAGGAGCATGGTAGACGTGGCCCTTCTCCTCCCCCCGCCCCCCCTCTCTCTCTCACTGTCGCGCTCCGTCGCCCCGCCGCGTCTGCGCACTTCGTCACCGCGTCGCCTCCGCCCCTCCCGAGCGCCTTCTTCCTGTTGTGTTGCGCACTACTTGCCCCCCCTCCATCTCTCTCTCTCTCTCTCTCTGCTCACTCTCTCACTCTCTCTCACACACACGGCTCATCTTCGAACCTTGCCGTGCCACGACACGCCGCGTTGGGTGCGCGGACCGCACCGGGCAGAAGAGTGGACCCATCAACTTTTACACAGTGAAAAAAAAGGAGGGGTTTCTTTTAATTTTTGTTTCCTATGTTGTGATTTTTGTGGTTTCCGCCCTTTTGAAGCAAACTCCAAGTAACTAATTGGAGAAGGTCGAGGAAATTGTGTGTAGGTGGCGCCCTGCCCCCCTCCCCCCCTCTTCTCTCTCCTCTGGTGTAAATTGTGCGTATCTGCAAACCACATTTACACACTCTGACACATTCTCGCAGACTCGTGACAGACGGGCCACAGACGCGCGAGCGCGAGAGATTCTTTCCGTGTGTCATGTTATACTCTCACTCGCTCTCGAGCTGCTTTATAAGGCGTGCGAACCCGGAAAACGAAACAGGCACACACACAGAGAGTTGCTGTGTGCGTGTGTGTGGGAGTGTGTGTGTGAACGTGTGCGTTGGTGGCGCCTCCGCCCCCCACAGATGCACAGGCGCCGCCGGGGGGTCACATCAGGACCGTTGAGGAGGAGCGCGCCTCCACACCCACCCCTTACTGCTCCTCCTGCGGACCCCCCGCCGCGCGCAGAGAGCACTCACAAGCGCACAGTGCAAGCGTTTTGTCGCCATTCCTTTCCCCCTCATTGCACTTCCTCCTCCCCCTCACCCTTCCTCCTCCTCCCTCGCCTATCCTTGTCCCAATTAGCATAGGGCTTCCGCTACGACACTCCCCAAGTGCGCGCGGCGGGCCGGTGTGTCGCGGCGCAGCTCCCCCCAGTCTAGTGGTGTGAGAGGGGCCCAGAGCCCACGCCCCGCCACGCCACGCCGGGCCATTCATTTCAGAGCTGCCCGGTGATTCATCGGCCGTGTAAATAAAAACAGATTGTCTCCTCGCGGCGGGCCGGTGGTGCCGGTGGGGACCCGGCTGCGGGACCCTGGGGGGGGAACCAACCACTAATAAGACGCTGCGTACGTGAGCGTTGGCGCCGCGCGGCGACCCGGGCGGGCCAACGGGACTCTCGAGCGTGCGTATCTCAGAGTCGTAACTGCGGAGGGAGTGCACTTGGTGGTGGTTCAGGAGGTGAGATATAAACCGATGAGGGGTAAATCAAAATGGCATGCAACATCGAGGTTCTCCTCATGCTCACTTGTTTACCTGGGTGAACTTGTGTGTATGTAGAGAGGTGATGCAGAGAGAGAGAGAGAGAGAGAGAGAGAGAGAGAGAGAGAGAGAGAGAGAGACATGGAGAGAGGAGGGGGAGACAAGGGGGAACCTACAAAAAGAGAAGGAGCCTGAATTCCTGATATTAATTGAAAGTGCCTCGGTGCTCCCGCGCGCGGGCTGTCTAGCTTTTTGCCGACATCAGTCGTCGTGTCGTCGTGGGGCCCGAAGACATCCCGCGCGCCTCGCCCCCGTGCCTCTCTCGCCTCCCGGAGTTACGCCCCGGAGCAAGAAAAGAAATAAAAGAAAGAGAAGCGGAGCGAGGCACTCCCGATAATAATAATAACAACAGCAACCACAACAACAATAACAACAACACCAACAAACCACAGTGTAACATGACATTGACCATTTTCTGACCTCTTTGCCTTGTGTTGTTGCAGGTCTGGTTCCAGAACAAGCGCAGCAAGGAGCGGCGGCTCAAGCAGCTCACCTCCATGGGCCGCGGCCCGTTCTACGGCGGCTCCCGGAAGATGCGCGGCTTCCCGATGAACCTCAGCCCCGGCGGCCTGGACGACGGCCCGCCCGGCTTCCCCTACTTCGCCACGGCCGACGGCAAGTTCGAGTTCGGCTACGGCGGCCCGCCACCCTTCCACCACGACTTCTTCCCGCCCCACCACCCCCACCACGGCCCGCCCCAGCAGGGCCTCCCCTTCCCCCAAGGTGAGTAGTGAAGGCACAACTTAATGAAGTCGAGGATGAAAAATTAAAAATATTTCCAGAAAAACTAGAAAAATCAACACTTTTAAGGACAAAATTAAGAGACGTAACAAAAAACTACTTTGAAAATGGATTCCCGAGATCGAGAATGCTTAGGAAAATTATAGTCCCTAATCCTAAGTGGTCTACAGTTTGTCTCACGCTCTTTGCTCTGTTGCAGGTCCCATGGACCCCGGCCCTATGCCCATGGGCGGGGATTTCCCCGGCATGCCCGGCGAGCCCCCTCCAGGCTTTATGCCCCAACCTCCCCCCTCCAACGACCCCCAGCTGCTGTCGCAGCGGGCGAGCCCCGAGTTCATCACGTCGCAAGGTGAGACTGATAACGATGGTGATATTATTGGTGATTAGATCTCAGATCGATGACGACGACGACGTCTCACTCCCCGGCCCGCGACCCCATCGTCGGGTGCGCGGTGCAGCGGAGCGAGTCCTCGACGTCTCCATTCGAATCTGTTTTCTGTCGCGGTCGATGGCTGCCGAAAAGGCATGACTAACGCTGTGCCGTTTTTGTTTTGTTCGCAGGGGGGAACAGCTTCTCGGAGCAGCCGCCCATGCAGAGCGAAGGACTCGTGTGGTGATGAACAGTGATGTGAGACGTGTGTGCGCGGACAAGGGACCCTCTAGTAGTGATTGTCGCGCCAAGTGTGATAGACAGTGCGCGTGTGACGCGCCCGCCCCCCAAGTGGCGACCCCCGCCCCCTACCGCCCGGCCCCAGGAGCAGAGCGGGCCACCCCCGGGCCGCCCCCGGGTCACCCCCAACCCCTTCGGGGGCCCTCTGGCTCTTACTGTGATACGCCGACACTGCGGACTCGGGATGCGACGTGTGTGCAGCAAAAGGAACAAAACTCTGTTGATATTGTCTTCATTTTTTTTTGCCAAACTGTTACGACACGATTTTTTTTTTTGCTGTTGCTGTTCTTGTATTCTTTTTTGAGGTTTCCTTGTTGTCATTATTAATTTTGTTCTTTTCCGGGCTCTCTTGGAGAGCCTTTTGTTACAAGGTAATGGCAATATCTCCGCCGTATGTACTGTGTCTGAAAAAAAAAATTCAAACATGTGTGTTCTCGTGAAGTGCTGGAATTACTTGTTGGTTTAGACTGGATTCTTAGAGAAAAGGTTTGATGTTTATTTTTCTTTGAGTATTCCACTTCTCTATGTTGACCATGCGTGTCATTTTAATTTTTCTACCTTGACATGTATAATGCGGAAGGAGATCAATCGAACTCCTCTTTGAAGTGATTTGAAATTCGGTTTAAATGCCCCTATGCCTTGCTGTGTTATTTTTATTGATAAGCAACACTTTTTATGGAGCCTGTGCTCCCGAGTCAGTCAGTGCCAGACTGAAGATGGAAAGGCTCAGAGTACTTTCCAAACAAGTTTTAAGAAAGAAAAACGTCTGTGAAAGTGTTCTACATTTTGGTATGTGCAAGCTGTGTCCAAGCCTGGAATCCAAGCTTGGATCTATTTTCGTGTCTGACATAAATCAGTATTCTGACTGACTTGCATTTTTTTGACGATTATCTAAAAATTTCTTGTCGTGTTCGAGAGTTTTTAAAAAATGAATTGTTTTATGGTGCTAATAACACATCGTTTTTATTATTTATTTGAAGTTACCTATTGATTTGTTTCCGCGGTCTCTTTGCCATGCTCAGTGGTCCTTTTCCTCACTTTCTCCTTCAGTGGTCGCTATCACGGACTCACGGACAAACAAATAAGTTCGCTCAATTTTAAAGGAATATTTCCCCCACTCTAAATGCAATCTGACGTTTCCTTGTTATATACGTAAATAAACTATCGTTTTCTGGTTTTAATGTATCGTTTTTCTCTCTATGCCTCTCTGTTTGTACAATAATTTTACTAACATTTCTTAAAAGGAAAATTATTGTGAAAGGGTGTCAACCGCCAGAACTTTATATACTTACGCAATGTGCGTTTGGCGTTTGTTTATTTAATTCCACGTGTACACCTTTTGTAAATACCAATCCATAGAAATATATGTGTATATGTACTGTCATGAAATTTCTCCCCGTGTAAATAGAGCACCCAAAATATAATGTTTTAAATAAGGAATGTTACTCGCCAACCACATCCTTGAGAGGGGTAGAGAGAAATATCGAACTGTTTGAATTCGCTCGCCGAAGTTTCCTAAAACAGCAATAACTGTGTTTGTACCATTTCGAGTAATGAATGGTTACTTGAATACATATTGAATTTTAAAGTAGAGCACTATGGGATATTGGTTTTTATTCATAGTTGGCATCCCTGTCAGACAAACAATTGTATCAAAGCTTGAAAAATGTGATAAAACTTACAAGGAAGCAATCCAAGGTCTCTAGGTTATTTCTGATTGTAACAAGATTGTGCCGTTTTGTTGTGCTGATATGCGAGAGTAACGTTTCGGTCCGGGGTGTATACATCCCTAAAAGAGGAAAAAAAATATACCATACTTGAAACAAATCGACAGTGCCTGTGCCTTATTTCTCTCTCTCCAGAACATCCCAGGATAATTCCGACACCAGGAAGCTCTTCATCATGCAATTGCAAAAGTTCATGGTCCAGACAGGGAGAATATCAGGGAATGGGAATAATTCACAACGCGGACGTTCCCTGTGCTGCTGCGAGCTTGCCCGCACATATAGCTCATCGCGCTGAGACGGATCGATCTCAAATCGATCATCTTTTCGCGCGTCGCGGGGAGCGGGGCGGGTTCGGTCGGTCGGCGTATCGTGACACATTATGGCAGCCGTCACAGCCCAAGAGACAAGGCGGAGCAGGCGGGGGTTTGGTTTGGACACGCGGCGGCCGACTCTCTGTCGCAGCAGACGACAGATTGGATTCGACCGTGTGCTGCGCCCCGTGCGCGGCGGACTGAGACAAGCAAGCAGAAGGGGCCGACGGCACACGCATCAATCAAGTCTTTTGCTCTACCGTGTTGGGTGAGGTTAGGAGGGCACCGCAGCACGCACGTGCGCGACGGACATGGGATGTTTCCGAGAAATACTGCGCGCGCGGCGGGTCGCCCCCGTGTGAACGCCAGCACCGGGGCC